CCCCTGGCCAGGGCACCAGCCAGCCCCCCCAGGTGGCAGTGTCAGCAGAGGGGTCCCAGGAGGGAGCGTTCCTCCCCTCAGAGCCAGCTTCCCCCTGACAGGGCAGCATGGCTGGGCTGGGCTGCTGCTGTGGTCCTCACCCCCTTTCTCTGAGCCACAGTCCCCAGGAGACCCTCTCGCTGGCCTGGCCCCTCAGATGCTAGCTGTATCCGTTGCTGTTATTGGGGGGGCGGTTCTTTTCCTGTGGATATCACGACATCTGTGACCGGTTATTGCTCGTGCCTTAGCGAGGCACTTCCTGGCGCCCTTCACCTATCTCCAGAGCACCCTAGAGCACTCCCCCTCGGATCAGCCCTCTCCAGTCTGCCCACGCGAGCAGTTCTCTCAGCCTGGGTGGTTTCCCCGTTTGTTAGAAATCCGGCTCCTCTAGCAGATCCCCCTTTCCCAGGCCAGGCCAGCAGAGAGCCCACTGCCCTGGGTGCCTCCTCTCGGGGGGCAGCACTGCCTTGCTGGGCCACTTACCCCTCGTTGTGCCGAACTGGAGTTCTCCGCCAGTCACAGCACGGCGGCTGACTCAGTACGTCACCTGCTTAACTACAGCCCTCAGCTCCCCTTCCAGTGTGTAGGGCCAGCTGTCCCATAGCCCCGAGCTGGGCAGGGTGCTTGGCCAGCATCTTTGGGCTCGCAGCATAAAGCAGTGGGGCCTGGAGAGTGCGAAGGCAAGGCGAGAGGGCATGGGGAGGGAGAAGACCCTGCTGGATGTTCAGCTTGCTACCCCCCTGCAGTGAGCTGGGTGGCACGGGCTAGGTCCTTCCCGCCGCTGTATTTACAAAACTCCCATGGGTTGAGTTTCGTGGCCACTCCAGCTTCTCCCCTGGGGTCCTTCCAGTGGCTGCCTGAGCCTGAACGCCCCACTCTGAAGATGTGTATAAGAAACTTCTCCCCTCTGCCCATCCCATGAGGGGAGCAGGTGTGTGTGGGTCGGTGGGGGCGGATAGCTGGACCCTCCCATCAGCTCTGCAGCTGGGGAAGCCTGACCACTGAGCTGTCATGCATTTGGTGGGGATTCCCAGCAACAAGGGGACAACACTTGACTGAATCCTTCCCAGCCCCCAGAACTGCTCCCTGACACAGCACCTTCTAGTGGCCCCAGGAGATCTTAGGCAAAGGGCCAGTTTCCCGCTGACATGCTCCTGATGCTCTCCGGAGGGTTGATTTGGCCATTCTGCATCAGAGGCAACTCTGTGAACTTTGCATCGTGTGCATGTCCCCTCTGTGCCCCCCCCCCTACTCCCACTCCCCTGTCAAGGGCAGATAAGGCCCCTGAGGGTGGGCTGCATGAGCTCTGCCCGGACTCCTTTGCAGCACCTGAGCGGCTCTTTGTCCCCACAGTGGCATGGCAGAGAGGAACGCCAATTTCGAGGCCCTGCCGGAGGACTGGCGAGCACGGCTCAAGCGGAGGAAAACCACTTCGAGCACATGAGGCATCGGCACTGGTTTTTTGTTTTTTGGGTTTTTTTTTACACATGTACAGTTTAGAGCCTCTTACCGATACGACTGTTGTCAATAAATTGTAACTGTTTGGGGCATCCCGTTTCAGTTGAATGGGCTGATGCAGCAATCCCCTAGACTGGGACCTCTCCAGGGTGGGAGCTGGGATGTGAAAGGCCTGTTAGGTAATGGGTGGCCTTGACCGGCCTTGTGCTCACCGTTCGGCTCCTCCTGGCACAGCGGGGGTGCTGGGCATGAATAGTCCATTTTGGGGTTGGGCTCTGGCAGCGACTGCACCGGGTGGGCCTGCCTCCTGCACAACGCTTGGCCCAGCTGGTAGAGCCGAGTCGAGCTCAGAACCCTCTCCCTTCCCCTTGCAGTTTAAGGAGAAGGCGGCTCTTCCTTGGCTTTCAGACCTAGCTCTCTCGGACGCCTCCTGGCGTTGCCATTCCCAGCATCTCTGGCCCGAAGGTGCTGCAGCTCTGTCCTGCGCCGAGTAGGAACTCGTGCGTGCACTTCCTCCGTCAGAGCCAGCCAGTGGCCTGGATGTCCCTGAGAGCTCGACGAGCCCTTCACTTGAATCCAGGGTTGTCTGCAGGGCCTAGTGCAGAGACTAGATAAGTCCACTTTGCCTGGGCCATAAAACCTTTGGTCAGCCCTTGGACACGTTTGCGGGCTACCTGGGAGATGGTGGGAGGCTATGTGTCAGGAGCCACTCACAGAAAAGCATTGCTGTTTGCTTGCTAGTTCTCCCCTGTTCTAGGCCCCACCTCCTTTCGCTCCCCATCAGTCCCCTGATTTCAGTAAAAGTAGCTTTTGTCCATGTTAAGCCTCCCTCCCCCTCTTTCTTTGGCTCAGAATCAGGTAAAAGTCACTTTCTTCCCACAGAAGGGAAGGCCACTCGGGTTTCCAGCCGTTTGTATTTCTCCAGTTTTTGGCTTTGTAAATTTGTACATAGATATGAATAAAATCCCTTTTTATACTTCAGAACCTGCGTGTTCTTGTACTGCGGCGCGGGATGGACAGTGCACTTGAGCATAGGGCAGCGCCTGCAAATCGGGCTGGGGGGATATGGTGGAGCTATGTTCTGGGTGACTCAGGCTTCTCCAGCCACTGCCCGTGCCAACTCACCAGCAAAGGGGGATCTGTCTGACTTGAACAGGCAGGCGCTCTTGGTCCACGAGTGCACTAAAGCAGTTGTTGATGCAGGCTCAGCTACGCCAGGGAATCTCATCAGGGAGGCTGGATGCCACCTCGGACACCCTCCTGCCTGTACAGTAGGGCCCATAACTAAGGCAGAGTGTCTGTCACGGATTTCGTGCCTTCATGACTTTTGCAGCGGATGGTGCAGCTGGCTCAGGGGCTGCCCGAGTGTTCGGGCAGCCCCCGAGCCATCAGCAGCAGCAGTTGAGGTGTGGGAGGAGGGCCAGGGCCAGGGCCAGGGCAGGGGTTTGGGGTGCCGGGCAGTGCTTACCTTGGAGGGACTCCTAGGAAGCAGATGGCAGGTCCCTGCAGCTCCTAGGCAGAGAGGCCAGGGGGGTTTGCATGCTGCCCCTGCTTGCCAGCACCATCCCCGCAGCTCCCATTGGCTGTGGTTTCTAGCCAATGGGAGCTGTGGAGCAGGAGCTCGTGGTGGGCGCAGTGTTCAGAGCCCCCCTGGCCTTGCCTCCCCCTAGGAGCTGCAGGGACATGCAGTCCGCTTCCAGGGAGCTGTGCAGAGCTGGAGGATAGGGAGCCTGTCAGCTCTCATCTCTCTCTCTCTCTCACACACACACATACCCCCGCCCTGGGCTGCATGCCTCTGCCCGCACCCTCCAGCACCAGCGGGGGTTCCAGGCCACCCCTCCAGAGCACCCCTGGCCCCATTTTAGTCAGTGGTATATGGTACAAGTCATGGGCTGTGACCGTTTGTTTACTGCCTGTGACGTGTCCATGACTTTTACTAAAAATACCTGTGACTAAAAGGTAGCCTTATCCATAACACCCTGGGTGATGATTATGGTAAAAATCCATGTCATGAGATTTTTTTCAGCATCATTCATTGCATTGGCCTTTCAGTCCTGGCCTTGTCCCCTGTTCTGCCAGCCACCTCCTGCTCATAAAGCCATGTCCTTATGTGCCAAAAGGTTCTTGGCAGGGTGGAAGGATTGTAGGTTTTTACTGAGTCACACCTGTGTAATCCTACTGCAGGCATTCTCAGCCACGGGGCAGGGGGTGCAGAGGAATGCCCCCACTTCCATGCCAATCAGTGAGGAAAAGGGGAGCACCACTGTTCTAGTGAATCCTAAAGACTAAATTGACCTGGCAAATCCTCTCTAGGCGGTGGGGTATGGTGTCTAACACCCATTGTATAATGTGGGCAGGGCTGAAGGGACCCGGAAGTTAATGAACCCAAATTGGTATGTTGGATATTAAGCTTAATTGGTGGACAAAATAATGAGGGGATGGGGTAGTCAACCCATCACTGCTTTGTTGGGTCCTGAAAAATTTTGTGGGAAACGAACCAAAAAAAAAAAAAAAGTCTCCTGGAGTGAGCTTCACCATCATGGCTCCCCCTGCCCGCAGCATGGAGCTTTATCACCCTAAAGCAGAGAGATGCCCTGACCAGACCCAGCCAGAGAGAGAGGCCCAGATGCTATCGCCATCTGTACCAGCTCCAGCTGAATCCCAAACACCACCTGGCATGACAGTTTTTTACCACCTTTGTTTCAATCTAAGAGACTGTCAGGTGAGGGGGCTTTGCCTTCTGAAGCTGGACTTTAGCAGCAGCCGTGCTCGCAGCTCGAGCCCCTCAACCAACTTCTTCCCTTTTCCCCAAAATGACAGGTATGGCTGTCTTTAATACAGCGAACGAGGGCTTTTTCCTTCTGAAAAACTCTCTGCCGCTCAAGGGGAAGGGGGCAAGGCTGGTGAAAATAAAAGCCTTATTTAACACTTCACCTTGTAAAGGCTTTAAGTGAATTTCCTTTTCTGTCGTTTTTATTGAAGTTTAAAGGATTTTTAATACAATCAACCATGGTGCTAAGCAGGCTGAAGTCGCCGTGTCCCAAGCTTTGCCTGTTGTTTAACCATGATTGTGGACTCAATTATGTTAACACCTTTAGCCCCTATATTCCACCTAAATTAATACCAGCAGCCCAGGCCAGACAGAATCACACCTGCAGGTCCCTGAGGTGACGGGAGCAGTAGGGCCCAGGGCTATGGGGCTGTGGGACCAGGGCAGTAGACAAATGTGCAGGGCGCCGGGGGCGGTAGGGCCCAGTCTCTACACGCACACAGGTGCGGGGCTGTGGGACTCGGTCCATACAGACCCAGCCACGGCGCAGGCCCCGCCCAGCGGGTATAGAGCGGGGGGCGGGGGCGAGGTCTCCCCAGGCCGGGGGCGGGGCCGGCGCTGAGCGAGCACAGGAGCGCGGAGGGGAGGCTTCGATTTCACCCGGCTCCGCCATTGGCTCCTACCGGGCCACACGGATGGACCAATAAGCAGAGAGCTTTTCCCCGGCGCCGCGCCCACTGCCTGTTGCTGGGTTACCGCGTCCCGGCACGAGGAGAGGCCCGGAGCAGGGCGGGAGGCTGCGGTGAGGGGCGCGGGGGGTTTTGGGCTCTAGAGCCGAGGAAACTCTGGGGAGTCCGTATTCTAGATCGGGGGGGTCCTGGCTCTAGAGCAGCAGGAGCTCGGGGGGTCTAGGCTCGAGAGCAGGGGGAGTTCGGGGGGCAGGCTGGGCTCTAGAGCAGGGGGAGTTTAGGGGGCAGGCTGGGCTCTAGAGCGGGGGGAGTTTGGGGGGCAGGCTCGGCTCTAGAGCGGGGGGAGCTGTGGGGCAGTCTCGGCTCTAGAGCAGGGGGAGTTTAGGGGGCAGGCTGGGCTCTAGAGCGGGGGGAGCTGTGGGGCAGTCTCGGCTCTAGAGCAGGGGGAGTTTGGGGGGCAGTCTCGGCTCTAGAGCAGGGGGAGTTTGGGGGGCAGGCTGGGCTCTAGAGCGGGGGGAGCTGTGGGGCAGCCTCGGCTCTAGAGCAGGGGGAGTTTGGGGGGCAGTCTCGGCTCTAGAGCAGGGGGAGTTTGGGGGGCAGGCTCGGCTCTAGAGCAGGGGGAGTTTGGGGGGCAGGCTTGGCTCGAGAGCAGGGGGAGCTCTGGGGTGGTCTCGGCTCTAGAGTGGGGGGAGCTCGGGGGCAGTCTGGGCTGCAAGGCATGAGGGGGGTGTCCCTACAGCCGTTTGTGCTGTTTTCCATATGCATCTGGCTGCCTCAGGACCCCTGGCCTGTGATTCCAGTGCAGCCCTGGCTCCAGGCCGTCAGCTGCCTGGGGGAGCAGCCCTGTGCAGAGCGGGCACTGGGTTCACACAGCCCCACAGGGCTGGTGATGGCCATGATGAGTGGTGCTGGGGGTGCAGAGCGGAGGGGCTGGAGCCCCTGGAGCACAGAGCCTCATGGGGCAGGCGATGGCTGTGATGAGCCGCGTGGGGGGTGTGATGTGGTTGGAGAGTTTCTTGATAACCTGACAGATGCGCCCCATCTCTGGGAACCAGCCATCCTCTCTGAGGATTCTGCCCTGGATCCTGGTTTGGGATGGTGTCTCAGGGTCTAGAGAGCTGGTGAGAGGCAGGGGAGGATGCAGAGCTGGGTTTCACCTCATAGAGTGAAGGAGAGAGGGGTAGAATGGGAGGCCTGGTGTGTATCTGGTCAGGGACTGGGGGCTTTCAGGTCTCTTCCAGGCCCCTTGGTCACTAGTTTCCGTGCTTCCCCCTAGTGTCTGTCAGAGCTGTCACCACTGCCTGTCATGAGTCCGGTCCAGGAGCCAACCCCTGAGGTTAGTGCAGAGCCCAGCCCTGCTGAACTGGGCCTAGGGGGGAGAGTGGGATCCTTTCAGCCTATGGGGCCATGCCATTGGGGACTGCAGCAAGGAGAGGGGAGCAGTGGGGGCCCCAGGGCAAAAGGGGCATCAGGGTGGGTGGGCACACGTGAAAGGGGCGGGCACTGGGGGGCTGTGCCTACAAGGGATTGGCCACGTGGACTCTGACCTGTTTGTTCATTAAATTCCTGTGTGCTGGCATCTGTGGGTGTGGAGGCCTGGCTTTCACTTACCCTTCCCTTTCCTTCCCCAGCTGCTCGCAGACCCCTATGAGAGCTTCATGCATCACCATCTGCAGTACTACGGCTACTTCAGAGGTAAGAGCACTTGGGTAGCTTGCTGCTCGCTAGCCCAGGACGTTTCACTGGTCAGCAAACAGTGACTCAGAGCCCACTGGATGCCCCTGGCTTTCACCCCCGTCCCCTCTAGAACTGCCATCCTGCACTGGGCACCGCATGCTGGGACAGCTGTGGGAAGGGGACACTGTCAACTGAAGAGCTAGGCAGTTTACAAAGGTGCCTTTACAGTGATATTTCCCTGTATTTTAAAATGTTTTCCCTCCCCCATTGCTGTATGGAGACCCCCCCAAAGGAGAACAGGCTGCTCGCTGAGTGCCCAGGGCCGCAGTGCGTGATACTGGCTAGGCAGAGTGCTGTTAGAAGGGGATCAGTGCAGCATGTCCTTTTTGCCTTTAACGTCTCTGGTAGGCTGGTGCTGGAGCAGGCAGACCTGTGTGATTGTGGAGTGGGCTGTGTCCCTACTGTGTCTCGCTTGAAGGCTGGCAGCCCTGGAGCGAAGTCTGCACCCTGGCAGGATCCGAACCCAGTCCTCTGCTCCTGAGACAAGACTGAGTCTCTGATCACATAGCTTTCCGTATTACCAGAAGAAGCCTTGGCTAGTATTCAAGCATCTAGTAACTGCACGCTCTTTCTGTGCCTATAGGGAGCCGCGGGGCAGAGTACCTTCTCCGGCACCCGGTGGCTGGCTAGTCTTTTCATGTTAAATGACTGAGATCCCCTGAGAGGATCCTACAGCCACTAGCCCTTCTCTCCCTAGTGCTCAGAAGCAGAGTAGCTGTAGGCTGGAAGACCTGCTGGGTGCAATCTGGCCCACCCCCCAGGAGCAGTGCTGGATTGTTCCCTACAGCACGGTGGCCAGGCTAGCTTTAAATGTCCCAAGAAATGGAGGTTCCCCAGCACTAACAGCAACATCCCTTCCTAGATGAGGAGAAAACTGCTGAAAGCAGCTCCCTTGCGTCACGAGAGCGCAGGCCAAAGAGCTCATACTCTCTGCTGGAGCAGGAGAGCGGAGGATCAGACCGCAATTCTCTTCAGGATAACAGGAAGAAGCTGATCTGTGAGTGAGCTACTCAGCGTGAGGAGCTGGGTTTCCTTTGGCCATGACAGCCAGTGGCTCAGTTCAGCCGCTGTCTGCAACTCAGGAGCTGCGTTAGATTGGAAACAGACAGCAGGGGCGGGGCGTAGGGGAAGGATTGGGTCCATAGCAAACGGGTCCATAAACACCCACGTTAGTGGGCTAGCTGGGGAACCATGGAGCAACCCTCACCCAGAGGTATGAACATTACTTCATAGAACACACTGCTGGCTGGGGATTGCATCTTGGCTAAGTAAAGGAACAGATGACATCCAAGTGAGCTAGCACGGTTTGAAAGCTTTGCAAGACCATGCATCTGGGGAAGAGCAATTGGTGTCCCCTGAAGAGCAGGGAGAAACCTCCCCAGATACGGAAGTTGTTGCAACACAGAGTCTATCCGAGCTAAGGGGGAATGGCCTGTTAGTGGGCTGCTGGGGAGGTGAATGGTTGCCCCAGGAGAGTGGAGAATAAATTGTATAAAATCCAGAGTTGGGGAGGTGAAGATCTCACCCCAGTATTGCACTGTCCCCTTTTCTAGTGAGGGTTTCTTTATAAAGGGGATCTGCAAAGGTGGGGGCAGTGGCAGGGGCCCTTCCTTGGGCAGGGCATAAAGAAGACCCAGTGTTTTCTGCCTGTCTTTTCCCTGTAGATTGATCAAGGCTGTGAAATCTTGTCTACCCTATTGAGGAGGTTTGGCAAAGAATGACTACTGTATATCCCAGAGCACTTGTGTAGTGGTAATGGGGTTTAATTCTGGTGCAGGTTAGTGACTCTCAGATACTTTTATAGGTTGTTTGGGCCTCTGAGTCATTCAGTGAGAGAAAACCAATCTGCTGTCCTTTTTATGAATTTTACTGAGAACACAAACTAGCAAACATAAAGCTAACAAATTTGCTGTGCTTCCCTGCAAGGCTCATCAATGTAGCAATCGAATGGGGTTCCAGTGGAGATCTGATGGCTTCATGTGGTGTAGAGATGTTGCTTGTAATTATTAGAATTGGGAGCACTGGCTGTTGGGAGTCTGAAAGGACAGGAAACAGGAAGGAGGGGGAGGAGTTAAAAGAGGCAGATGGAGAGCTACTGAGGGTGCAGCAGGAGCTTGGAAAAGAGGTTTCCACTTTAAAAAATAAAGTCCTGTTGAAGTTTGTTAGTACCTTGCCTGGCTACTACAACACTTCATCAAGGAACTACCAATAGCATAAGTGGGAATGAATAACTGTGACACGAAAATAGATTGAGATCAACAATAGATCAAATCCTTGCATGATCAGTCACATCATGCAACCAGCCGAACACAGCCTTATCCACAAACCCTTATACACAGACCGACTCTCCGAGATAGAGCAGCCTTCTTCTTAGCCCTAGAAATTCTGCTGCGTCTCTTTGAAGCACTAACAATGCAATGGTTTGCTCAACTTTCTCCGCCCCAGCTAATATCTCCACTTCCTGTCAGTGCAATGGGGCCAGCCCCCAAGTTCCCCTCTCAGGCAGAGTGGTTTTCGCTAACACCTGCACAGAGCCAGGGCGGCATAGAGCAATCTGGGGCAGTTTACTTAGGAGTTAGGTAAATCCAGGTGTGATGAGTTTCTAATATGGACTTAGCAGCATGGTGCGATTACTTCACACACACACACACACACACACACGCAGGAAGGTTAGGTAAAAACAGTTAGTTGCAGGCATTCTCCTAGAAAAGACTCTAAAAGTAAAAAGAAACCCCCTTGGAAAAAGGCTCTGTTCTGCGGCCGGCTTGCCCTATGGAGCTTCGCAGTCTGCCAGGAAGTGCAGTCTGAGCAGACAGACACTGTTCTTGGGTTCTGTAGCTTGTGCTAGTGGGTGTCGTCCCCTGCTCAGCTGGCTGCTCTGTGCTGTCTGTCTGCCCTCTCCAGGACTGGCCCAGGGGAAGGGGGGGAATCAGCGGTTTAGTTGTTGTCAGGATGACCCAGCCAGGAGCCCACTTCCTCACTCACCTGGCTTGTTCGGGTTGCCATTGGAGCCAGCAATGCCCCGCTGTCCCTCCCAGAGATGTTTTGCACGTAGCAGTATCCAATTGGAGTTTGTACCCCAGCTGCATGTTCTGGTCCTGGATGAGTGTGACCAGGCTTAGCCTTGGGTTCACTTCTGGGAGCCTCCTTCCAGCAGGCAAGTTTATCACCATCTCTGTCTTAAACTGCAAGTCCACTTGCTCCCACAAAAGCAGCCTCCCTCCAGCCCTACCCTAGGGAAACGGCCAGTGGGTTGCAGATGGCTCTCTGGCCAGGAAGGCCTCGCCACTCCCCCTGGCATGCCTTGAGCCCATTGCCTTTGGGCTGATAACAGTGTCCTTGTCCCCTGATCATTCCCACATCTCCGTGCTCACACTCCCTCCCTGTCAGTGAGGGCCTCGCAACCACAGTGGGAACTGGCCGGGCTGTCACCTTTTGGCTGGACTGGGGGCAGGGAGGGCTGTCTGGCTTAATGCCCCAAAGGCAAAGCTGCTTTGAAGATCCTGTTAATAGAAATTTCATTAAAAATACAATAGAGTAAAGCTGATACTGGGTGGCGACACTACTAATATGCCCAGTGCTGGGCTTGGGAGTCAGCCACGGGCCTGCAGTGTGGTACTGTGCCGACGCAGCTCTGTGGCATGGGACTGTTCTGTGTCTGCACAGCATCCAGCACAATGGGGTGCTGGGCTGTGGCTGGGCCCCTGGGAGCTACTGCCACCCAAAGCAGAAAGCACAATGGTTTTACGGGGGGGAACCCTTTGTGAGCCAGTTGAAGATAATACATTTATCAATGAACACACAATGTCCAGTGGCAAAGTGCAGCCCTTCCCATCTAGGAGAGTCAGAATTAAGGTTTCCTGAGCAAGCCAAATCCTGCTGCCTTGAGTGTATGCCGGGGCGCTCCGCGGATGCAGGCGGCTCTGCAGACTCAGGCCAGCTGCCTCTCACAAGCCCTAGGAAGGGAGAAGGGCGTCCCCTGGGCAGGCAGAGGGATGCTCCAGTGGGCTTGATCCTCCATTGGGATACACTCCCTGAGGGACCTTCCGCAAGTAGCCAAGCTAGGGCTGCCCCCATGCAACTCTGGTTTGTGCTGTGGCCAGGTGGCCCTGAATCACAGAGCCACAGGCAGGCCCTCTCCACTGTGTCCACTGAAGAGCAGCTGGTACCAGTTCTCCTAGTCCACTGGTTATGTTGCCCTAGGCAGCGAGTCCCCAGGAGTGCTGAGTAGTGCTTATTCCTATAGCCCGCTGGCCATGGCAGGTACTGTACCTCCACCTGGTTGGCAGAGTCTGCTGCTGCTGCTGAGACACAGGTGCCAGGTGTGTTTGTGTCCTGCTGCACAAGCCTTTTCCTAGCAGTGCCAAAGCCAAGGCTCTGCTGTGTGTGCACTATGAAATCGGGGCGTCCGGCCATGCACTGCGCTGCGGAGTCCCTAGTGCCTGCTCCTCTTCTCTTTGCAGGTTCTCTCATGCTGGAGGCTGCACTTCTCAAGAGCAAACAGCTTCTGTTCAATCACCTTGAGGGCCCCGGGGTCCCATGCCTGCGGGAGCCTCGGGGTCTCTTTGCTGTGCCCACCTCGAGAGGCCCCCTGCAGGCACCACGCTGGCCAGTGGAGTGCGAAGTCATCAAGGAGCAAATCCAACACATCGGTAACCGGAGCCCTGTGTGTGTCACTGCCCCATCCCGTGTGGGGCTGCTGGGAGCTCCCCAGCTCGTCAGGACTTCGGTAACCGGAGCCCTGTGTGCGTCACTGCCCCTGTCCCATGTGGGGCTGCCGGGAGCTCCCCAGCCCATCAGGACTTCGGTAACCGGAGCCCTATGTGTGTCATGGGAGCTCCCCAGCCCATCAGGTCTCTGGCGCTAGCAATGTTGCCAGCTCCTGCAATGGATGGTGTGTTTCCTAAAGCTCCAGATCCTGGAATCACATGACTGCATGAGAAGCTCAGTATCCATTTTAATAAAGGATGCTCATAGCCCTCATGGTCGCAGAGAAAAGCTTTAGACTGTGACCCTGAACAGCGCTGACACCAGATGTTAGAGAACAAGAGCCCCAAGTGGAGGAGGTTGTCAAATGTCATGATTTTTAAGCCAAACTCATGATTTTGGGGGTCTGACTTGGGATGAGCAAGTGGTATTGCACCTGTTGCATAAGCGTGTGGATCGGGGCTCTCAGGGAGGTCTGGGAGCTCCTGGGGCAATTATAAGGTCCCCAATAGGGTAAAGGCTGCAGTGAGGTTTCACACTTGAATGGTGAGCCCACAGGAGCCTGGTCAATTGTGTTAATGGCTAACCAGGTAACATTAACCCATGAAACCCTGCCCAGCAAATTGCACAGACCTGTCAGGCTTCATTTCACAAGGCACCCACACAAGCCTTCAATTCCTTTGGGAAGAATAAAATTCCACCCCAAAGAGCCTCGCTGAAACCCTGTACCTGTTCAGGTGTGCTTTGGCCAAGAGAGCCATTCATTTCTCTCTCTCGTTGCTGGGTCTAGTTAGAGTCCCCAGCACCGAGACTCCCCCAGTTCTCTGGACAGACTGTTCCATGGCCTAGTGCATCGCGCTGTCATCAGCCCGACATTCAGTCTAGCACGTCCCTTCCTGCCATTTGCCCCCTGGCTCGTCAATCTTCCCTGTTCTCTGGAATCCCCCTCTTTCCGGGATGGATCCACCCAGCGAACGCTCCCCTGCCTTTGGCATTGTTTAGCTCCCCTTGCTGGCTCATCTTTTTCTTGCTTCTCTCCTCTGGCTCCACTTCGTTTTTCAGTCCCTGCCAGGGAATGTGGTGCCCAGAGGTCAGAGTGCTGTGTCTGCCTCCCAGCCAGCCAATGGGGCCTAGCGGAGTAATCGTGGCACTAGAAACCAGATTACTTCTCCCTCTGTGTGATGAATCGTTTCGTGTTGGGTTAAGCTGGGCTCTGTGGCATGGGGAGGCTGGTCAGCCCTTGGGAGAGACGTGGCTAAGGCCCAGCATTACCCAGAATTCTCTGCCTCCGCAGCAGTCAAATTGGTGCTCTCTGCGCAGAACTTTCCAGCCAGTATTTGTTGGCCCTTGGGGTCTCCCGTTCTTGTGGGGGACCTGAAATGGGCATTTCCTGCTTTTCCCACAGGTGAGTCTGGGGGATGAAACCCAGGAAAGGTGCGAGCAGACAGGGCCGTGGGTCTGCCCCCTTAACTCCATGCATTTGCATTAAAACTCTGTGGAGGACGATTGACTGTCACATCTTCAAAAGGGGACTGGCTGGGTCTGAAATCAGGCTGTTCTGTCACTGCCCAGGTGTTTCCCCTTCAGAGCAGATTTACTCTACCCAGTTGGCCTCCTTCCCAACACAGACCCCTACTGGACTATTAAAAATCACAGGGTCATCACAATCACAGGCTTGTCGGTGTGGAAGAGAGGACACTAGCTGAGAATGAACATGTGGGGAGGGTCATGCCTTTCGCTCTATTACTACATGGCACAGGGGCTTCAGAGCTCTTTTCAGGAGAGCACATTTCTTTACCCTGTAGGGCAGGTTCTCATCTGAAACCCCTGCAATAATAACTGGAACCATTCCCCCTGTCTCCTCAGAGTGGGTGCCGTCTGAACCGGAGCCATTCTATCAGTCCACAGGAAATGAGACAGCCCCACTAATTGTGGGGAAGGAGAAAGGAACCGTGGTCTATCACATAAAGCCAGGTATGGGCTCATACACTAACAACACTGATAACCTGGGCGTGGAATCCAGGAGTCTGTAAAGCCCCTTTCAGACCTGCTCTGGGGCAGGGCTGAGCCGTGCCTGGCTGGTCTCTGAGAACACTGACTGTAAGGTGTCGTTTCCTTTCCGGTTCCGACACTGCGTGGGACGAGAGCTCCCTGTTTTCATGTGAAACACTCGGGGTTCTGGCTGCATACAGAAAGTCTTGCTCTACACTTCGGGTGACAGATCTACACAATTCTCATCTCCAGCGCGTGAGACATGAAACTAACCCAGGGCCAGATCCAAAGCCCAATGAAGCCAATGTTGACCTGCTCAGGCATTAATTGGGAAATCATTGGTCAAACCATAAAACTTGAACGTGCTGGATCTCAGTGGCTGAGGCCTCTATAAATGACTGAATGCTGGCTTTTCTAGAGCACGCCTCATTCCCAGATCACCGCTGGGGTAGGAAAGACCCAGAGGTCCCAATACAGGACTGTTCCCTGTGCTATGTTTTCTAGCGGCAAATGTTCATGGCAATGTGGCTCCCACCCCTTCCCTACAGGAGTGATCCCACAGCCTGATGTGTCTCTCTGTTGAGGAGTTGAATCCTGTCTAATCTGTTGTCCTGCAGCAGGAAGCAGATTCTGGAGATCTCAGCTCATAAGCGGCTTGCTGGCTCTGTGAGATGGGAAATGGCCACCAGTCACTGCCCAGCAGCCTCCAGTTAGCAGGGCCCAAGTTTCTTACTGGTTTTCTAACCATCCCCTAGGAGAGAGGCTGAGGTTGGGCAGCAGCCAGGTGTCCCCGAGGGTACTCACAATAGCTCCCAAGGGCATGTAGGGTGTTCTTTACCCCCTCTGCTCCTTCAGCAAGCACAACTCTTGACATCCAGTTCCAGTGAACCAGCCCTGCCCTCCCAGTGAACTCTTCTTAACCCTTCTGTGCCCAGCTTAGAGCTGCCTTGCGTGACATGCCTGCTCTAACAGTGGAAACTTGGGCTACATCTACCCTGGAGCTGGAGGTGTGATCCGGGGTTGAAATTACATCTCCAGCTCCAGTATGGACATACCCTTTGGCTTTATCTACACTGGCGCCTATGCCGGCGCAGCTCTGCCAGTGTAGCCCCCGAGCGGAGGTGTAGCCTATCCCGACAGAAGGAGTTTTTCTGTCGGTGCAGGAGTACCCCCTCCCCAAACAACGTTAGCTGCGTCAGCAGAAGCCGTCTTCCCTCGGCGTTGTTGCGTCCACACAGGGGTGTTGTCGGCACAGCTATGTTGGGCAGGGCTGTGGTTTTCTCATATTGCTGATGGCTGTAACTACGCCCATGTAACTTTAAAATGTGGACCAAGCCTAAGTGTGGCCATCTTTGGGGGCTGGCTCCAGTGACTCGTGTCCACACATAGCCCATCCTGGAGCAGTGCTGCCTCTGGGGCTCTTACTGTGTCGACACAGCAAGAAGAAGCCCCACAGCAGTGAATCTCAGAACCTGGGTCACCTGCCTTGGGCTTGCGGGGCTCACGCTTCGGGACTAAAAACAGCGGTGTAGATGTTCTCACTTGGGCTGGAACTGGACTGTGAAACCTGGCGAGGTGGGAAGGTCTTGGAGCTCGTCTCCAGCCCATGTGGGAACATCTACACTGCTCCATGGCACAAACCCAAATCGCTTGACCCGGGCTCTGAGACTCGCCACCGTGGGTATTTTTTACTGTGTAGATGCAGACGCATCGTAACAAGGATGTGTCTGTGCCTGGTACGTAAGTCCCATTTCCTGCAGCCCATGAGGCAGATGCTCAGACCAGGATCGTGATCCGGCCCTACTACTCTTGCAGGCCAAGCCATGGAGGTGGGCGCAGGAGCAGGCCCATGCTCTGTCTCCATCCCTCTGCGCTCTCTCCAATCCTGAGAGTGGGGGCCAATGTGATACTGGCACACCACTATCCACTCTCATCCTGGCAGCAAGCATCAGCAGGAGAGGCAGTGTCTCATAGCAGATAGAGCACTGGGCTGGGACTCAGGAGACCTGGGTTCTGTTCCCTAGCCTGCTGAGTGACCTTGGGCAAGTCACGTCACCTCCCTGTGCCGGTTTCCCACTCCGTGAAATGGGGACAGTAACACTGACCTGCTTTGTGAGGAGCTCTGAGATCTATGGATGGAAAGCTAGGGGTCATTATTATTGGCACTCCCTAATCATGGCTTGGGGATTCCAGGCTGCCCCCTATGGAGCCCAGAGAAAGCAGCGAGGGGGCTGTCTCGTGTGTGTCAGGGGAAAAATGCCTGAGGGTGAGGGACGTGAAGCAGGGGAAGCGAGGGGTTTAGCTGCAGTGGGGTGTTTGCTCAGTAGTGGGGGATGCTTTGGGCACTTGCAGCCCAGAGGTTCCCTGCCTTGTACTGGGGCAGAGCCTGAGTCGCTGTATGAGCAAATTCCCCGCCCTGCATCGGAGGGGAGTGGGATTCTGAACAAGGGCCATGCCGCAGGGAGCTGGGTCTAGCACAGGCTGCAGGTGTGACAAGGGCATCTCCTCTCCCGGCAGTGGCCAAAGGCTCCTATTTTACCTGCTCCCGCGTTGGAGGCGCGCGAGGGCCCATCACGTCACCCGCCATCAGCTTGGAAGGTCCAGAGGACACCACCCTGCTCTTTGAATCCAGATTCGAGAGCGGGAACCTCCAGAAGGCCGTCCGAGTGTGAGTGAGAGGGCAGAGGACGTGGGACTGTCCATGGCAGGCAGGGGAGAGGGAGCTTTCCAGTTAAGCCAGGGTGCCCGGTCCAGGCTCTCTGTGGAGGGCAGGCGAAGGGGAAGCTGGGATGGCCCTGGGGGGTGGCTGTATTAAATAGGACAGGGGCATTAGAAGAGGAACTGAAGATGTGCCTCACTGGGACGGTATCTCCAAAGTGTTTGGATCAGCCCCGTCCCAGGGAGCAGGCGCTGCCTCCCCCAGCTTTGGGAGCGCACTGAGCTGTAGCTGTCC